GGTCTTCGAGGTGATTATTTGATCACAGAATGAGTTTGTTTGCAATTTATTTGCATCGATCATTATTTTAGACCGATTAATCATTCACTTTTATTTTCTTAGAAAAAACAAGAAAGGAGTCTCAATGATAATGCATTTTTCTAGTCCTTATCTTTTTAGTCTCAATGATATTAAATCACCATAGAGATTTGATGTATTGTAAATAATACTAAATCACTATAATTGTCAAATGTCAAGAAAATTCTCTGTGTATTATTTCAAAAATAATAAGATGTATTGATATACTTTTAGGCTATTTTATGAGTGATATTAAATCATCATAGATTCCTAAAAATGTCAAATGAGATACCATGAATGACACTAAGTCATTATAGATATGAAAATTTGTATTTAAAATTTTAGAATTAAATTATCTTATAGAAAATTCACTTTGAAAATTCCTTTAGGGATTATCATAAGTGATACTAAATCACCATGTGCACTTAAAGTATCAACCAATGGATTGTGAGTGATACTAAATCACTACAAGTTTCAATACTAGTTAAATTTCTCCTCTTATACATTATTAAAAAATAATCAAAAAATAAAATCTTTAATATATTTTAGGTTTTGCCTTGAGTGATATTAAATCACAATGGATCCCTAAAAAATATCAAATTAGATATTGTGAATGATACTAAATCATTGTAGGTATCAAATTTTGGATCAAAATTTTATAGTTAAATTATTTTATTTATTATTTATTTTGAAAATTTCTTTAGGATTTGTCATGAGTGATGTTAAATCACCGTATACACTTAGAGTGTAAACCAACAGACTATGAGTGATACTAATGTTGGAATATTATTTATGGATTGGCATTAATTAATAAGCCTAACAGTTTGGTCTTTATGATCTTGTGTGGACCGTGATAGATAGACCATATAAGTGAGCCTAATGGGTAGAGGTCTAACCTACAACCCAGTAGCTATCAGTTATACCTTATCTCTTAACTGATTAAGTCAGAGATAATGTGATATAATTTTTTTTAATTATATAATAAGGCGGTTACCAATCTGATCTATATAAGTCAATCAGTCGCTAACTGTAAAGACACGATTCATTCTCTACTGTTCCATTATCTCTGAACTCTGAAGGCTCTAGAGACCTATGGATTGTGCACCTGTCAACACTCAAGGTAATTGAGATTTCTCAAGCGCTCATGGATTCTTCAGGTATGCATACATATTACTTTATTCTATCATATTCAATTATATATGAATTGAGATATTCAAAGCTATCATGTGGCACCAGAGCCTTAGTAATGAATTAAAAATTTATATATCTCAATTCTTCTTATGTATATATTGATATATTGATAGAGATTCATGCTCATGTTGATAAATTTCCTTATGATCCATATTCTTCAGGAAATGAGATTTGAATATGAGAACTTTGTTTTAAATCTTATTATATTTATTAAAAAAATATATTCTCCTTCTCAGCGTCATCTCCCTATTCACTACGTGTTTCTTTCACCGGAGATGCTCCTTCATGGCATCATCTTCCCTTCCCCATGGTCTGGTTCGCATCGTCTTAAGATTTATTTGGTCGTCGGAGAAGGGCTCCAAGGACGTCAGACATGATCGCCGAAACAGAGTTGCCGATGCGTCGTCTGCAGCTTCATTCTTCGCTGCTGCTCTAGGTCACCAGCGACTTCCTTCCTTCTTCCTCTTCTCTTACACGGCAATCATAGACCCAGCAACAGGGTTAGAAACCGAATCCTAAGGATCCAGTTTCTTGGGTACTGGGCCCATATTTCGTTTGGGCCCAGAGTTGTTACTAATAAAAAAAGAATTTGGTTTTGGTAGACTGGACCATGTCTACTGGGCCTAAATTGTATGGGCCTAGTACAAAAAAAAGGTTTCTGTTAATTATGTTTTGGCCCCAGTTTAAATTACATCACTCAGCCTATAATTTCTAGGATTTACGTCGTGAACCCCAGGATATTTCTAAAAATTACAGTTTAGTCCCTTAACTTTTAGAATTATGTTTTGGACCCAAATCTCTTCCAGAATTACTTATTTGCCCCTGGACACTTTTTAAAATTTTACTTAAGTCCTAAATTTGTTCCTTAATTCCTAAAGACACTAAGGACTTTTAAAATTATTTTGTTTTGTCCTAAGGTCATAAAATTTGTGACTTTGTGAATTATTGATGATGCTTAGGATCTTGTAGCATTGATAATGGACATACCCCATAGGTGTGACATTATTAATGTAATTTTGATGGTTGGCTTTGAAGATAGGCTAATAGCACTCCTTTAATGTGTTAGATATTTGTTGTACCCTATAGGTATGGAAATGTTTAATGTATTATTTTGTATGGACTTTTGTATGAGCTAAATCTTTATGGTATATGAGCCTTCTTGGTGTATGATTATAGTTGCATAATTGATAATCACTTGTTGGAGAATTTTGTTTTATAATTATGTTGTGCACGCATAATTAATATTTCTTATTTTCTATTTTACGATTTCAGTTTTCGCTTTTACACAACTATCCTTTGTGAAAGCTCTCAATGGTACTAATTATGATGACTGGAAAGAGTCCCTGTATATGTATCTGACTATTTCTAAGAAAGATTTAGCTTTGCGAGAACCCAAGCCTGTGAATCTCTCTTCTGAGTCCAGTGCTTCTGAAATGGCCTTCCATAAACAATGGAGTGAATCCAACCGGATTTGTCTAGCGATCATTAAGTACACAATTGAAAAGAAAATTAGGGACAGCATTCTTGAAAAGGATATTGCTGTGGAGTACTTGAAAGCTATTAGTAACATATACAAGAACCTTGACAAGACTCAAAAGAACTACTACCTGTCACTTCTTGACAATACTCGATATGATAGAGTTTATGGTGTCAGGGAGCACATTCTGAAGCTTGTTTATTACTATAACAAGCTTAAGTCATATGAGATTGATTTGGGTGAAAGTACCTTGATTTACCATATTCTTCAATCACTGCCATCAGAGTACGCATTCTTGAGGACTTCATACAACTCATAAAAAGCTGAATGGTTTGTTGACCAGATGATATTGATAGTCACTCAAGAAGATGAAGCTATAAAGAAGAATTTCTCTCACTTAATAAACTATATTTCTCATGGCTCTAGCAGCAAATCTGGAGAGTCATATAAGAAAAAGGGGAAGAAGCATGATACCCTAAAGCCCAATAATCCAACCTTTAAGAAGGATGGTGATAAGAGTGAGAAGTCGAAGAAGAAACCCTTTAAGGGGTTATGTAATTTACAAGAAACTGGGTCACATTAAACCTAATTGCTTTAGACTGAAGAACAAACAAGAAAGTGAAGGTACAATTCTTCAAACTGCCCCTCTAACTCTAGTCTATTTTGAATCTAACACCATTGAAACTTTCTTTGACTCATGGTGGCTGGATTCTGGTGCCACTGTACATGTTGTGAATTCTCTACAGGCGCTAAGAAACTAGAAGGTTCCAAGTAAGGCATAGAAGTCAGTCTTTGGCAAAACAGGGAGCAAGGCATCAGTTGAATGCATTGGAACTATTTTATTGCATTTAAATTCTGATCATGTTTTACATTTAAACAATATTGTTTATGTACCTTCTATGAAAAGGAATTTAATTTCAACTTCTGCATTGAATATTTGTGGCTATTCATTCTTTCAAGGAAATGAGAAAATTGACATTTGTTTTGATTCCTTAATATTGGTATCACTTCCTTGATATATGGTTTATATCAATTGAATGATTGGTCACTTGAACTTCATAATCTCCATATCAATGCTGCTATTAGGCATAAACGTCAAAGGCCCAATGATAATTCCTCTATGTTATGGCATCATTGTTTAGGTCATATCTCTAGAGAGAGATTGGAACGCATGGCCAAGCAAGGTGTATTACAAGACTTTGAGACTTGTGTTGATTGCATAAACGAAAAATTCCCTGCTAGAGCTAGAACCAAAGGGGCAAAGAGGTGTGAAAATACTTTAAACCTAATCCATATTGATATTTATGGACCTATCATACCTCCAGCTATGGGTGGTTTCAGATACTTTATCACCTTCACAGATAATTACTCTCGTCATGGATGGATTGAACTCTTTCATGAAAAAGATGAGTCTCTTAATGCATTCAAGACCTTTAAAGCAGCAGTCAAATTGAAATTTGGAAAGTCGATCAAATGTGTGAGATCTGATAGAGGAGGAGAATTTTATGGGAGATATACTGAGACTGGCAGGAACCCTGGGCCATTTGCTTTGTACCTTCAAGAGCATGGCATTGAAGCTCAGTATACTATGTCTGGCACCCCACAGTAAACTGGGGTTACAGAAAGGCAAAATCATACTCTCATAGATATGGTTAGAAGCATGATCAGTCACTCCTCACTGTCAAAATTCTTATAGGGTGATGCACTTAAAACTACTGTTTATATTTTGAATCAAGTTCCTAGCAAGTCAATTCCAAAGAATCCATATGAGTTGTATTTTGGAAGGACTCCTACACTAAAGCATATGCGAGTTTGGGATTGTAAAGTACAGGTAAAACCTTACAATTCACAGCAGATGAAACTTGATGCTAAAACTATTGATGGTTTCTTTATTGGCTATTGCATCAGATCTCGTCGGTATAAATTCTATTGTCCAATCACACTACTAGGGTAATTGAATCTACCGAGCTTATTTTTTTGAAGATGCCTTAGACAGTGGGAGCTTTGTGCCTAGGCATATTACTTTACATGATGAAAGTAGTATTTTGACTATGCCTATCTTGACAACCCCTCATGTTGATAGAAATAATGCCATGGATCAGGATGAAGCTCAAGATGAATCACCTTTAGAGGGTGATAGGATCTGGTTGTTGAGGTGATAGGGATCTGGTTGTTGAACCAAGATGGTCCTAAAGGGTTCGCATGTCACGTCCCTAAAAATGAGAGTGACCGGCACGGAATGTGAATCATATCACACATCCCTTAAGCCCTAAAAAGAATTCTTCATATTACTAAAACATAATTATGTTTATATTAAATTATAACATGCGTGATCATTTTCATAGAAGCTTTCTTATTCTTGTAGAAATTTCAGCAGAACTTCCCTTGTAAATAAGACCATCCTGAAAATTTTACAACAAAACGTTCAATCAAAAAAAATCACAATAACCAGGAGCTTTGCTCCTTCCAACCAATAGACAAAGTATATAACAAAGTAAGGACCCTAACTATAGTCTATGTGGAGCACCTAATTATATTTTTTCATAATATGATACATAAATTTCATATTTGTATCAATAGAAGATATTTACCAAAGAAATCTACACATAATTCACCAAAAGAAGTCCTTCAGTGATCAGCAGGATGTACAGCCTTAGCTACGCTATCTGAGACCAAAAATAACTTTCCAGTGAATAACGTCCCAACCATAATATTTATTTTTTTATTTTTTATTTATTTTATTTTTATTTATTTTTTTTAAAATCAAATTAATAGCTACAACTTTTATATAAATTAAAGAAAGACAATTCAATATAAGCAAATTTTGTAAACTTGGAATAAAAGTTCTATATAACTTCAACATCAATAAACTTTAAATTTATAATGACAAAACAACCTTAACATTGAATCTTGACAAGTCAAAACGATGAAATAAATAAATAAGAACAATAATATTTACCAATTTAAAACCATTGAATATAAAATCACCAATTAATTGAAAATACATATTTTTGGGGATTTATCAGAACAATTCACAAACGTGGACACACAGTCCACGATAGTAAATATCCAAACGCGGCTTATGCCACGAAGACAAACGTGGACACACAGTTCACGAAGGTAAGTAACCAAACGCAGCTGAAGCTACGAAACAAACGTGGACACACAATCCACGAGGGTAAGTAACCAAACGCAGCCGAAGCTACGAAACAAATGTGGACACACAATCCACGAGGGTAAGTAACCAAACGCAGCCGAAGCTATGAAACAAACGTGAGTACGATGCTCACGAATAATCATCCCTCCGTTCCACGTGCGTTGGCCATCGCACGGGGCTAGCACCTCCTATAAATACCCTGCTAGCTAGGTGTACCATGGCGCGCCAAGGGCTAACGGAACTGCCGTTAGCAATCAGTGTTCCGCATAAAGTCCCTTTTGTAAAATCATTTTCAAACATGCGAGAAATTGATCACTATTCAAGATACAGTTCTCATTCTCAAAATCAAACTCGCATGAATACTTTTAAGCATTAAAACTTTCCAGAATCAAATTTCATATCCAATGCTCGTGCTTGCATTTATTGAATAAAAAATTTCAACTTCGAACTCGCATGAGTCATTCTCTGTATCTCTCCAATATTTGATAGAATAAAAATATCATAATCAAAGTTCAAACTTAATTTAATTGATCAAATAACATTTTAAATTTGGTAAAGTTAATTTATCAAAATAAAGTAATGTTAATCAACAAATATTCAACAATCGCATTAACGCTATAAAATGATTTCCAGAAAAATAAAATCCCACAATTAGAATTCAAACTTCTATTTACTGATTAACCAAAATAATCAATTCTGGTAAAATAATTTCACAAAATAAAATAATTTAATCAACAAATGTCTCATAATCACATTGTTGTCGTAAAAATAATTTGCATAAAAATGTAATATTCAAATAAAAGAGATTTTGATAAAATATCAGTTGGGACGCTATCCACTTACCTGTAATATCCTCAAGGCTCCAAACTCATTTCGTATGACTCTTATTTGAGCTTCCCTCTTTCCAAACTAGTATTGAAGGTCAATGCTTTGTCATAAAATTCCTAGTATTCAAATAGTATCATTGTTACTTCACCAATCATGCTTTACTACCTAAAATATTTAAATCCAAAATAATTTAGAGGAATAAAAGAAAGAAAACTTTCACTTTTATCTTGTTTAACATTGCATCAAATATCCCAATGATATCCCAAAAATGAATATTAAATTAGCTCTTAAATTACAAACTCAAATATCTCTCCCAATAACCTCTAATTTCTTCTTTAACTTTCATCACAAAGAACAAATGCTTAACATGATTGTTCAATCAATGATGGCATATTTGTCATATATATTTGCCACTTTATTTCAAAATCTTCCTCTCAATGCTCAATCAAGTTCTTTTTCTCATTAACTCCCTTTCCAAAGGTTTTCCTTATATCTATAATTAATCTATTCACCTCCCAACACCTATCAAAGAGAATAATTATCTCCTAATGATAGTTTATTTAATCAACAATATCCCCATCATATATGTATATATATCATACCACTATATAACAAAAATCCCTCTTGGTCATATTGTCAAATACCTTGTGGCCATTAAACTTCAAATCATTACCAAGCTTCTTCCTATACGGTTCCACTTCCCAAAATTCTCCAACATAAAATATAAATATATCAACTTCTCAAGTTCCATTCCTTTTACAAAATCAATATAAATTTTCACATAGCTCAAGTCTACACTAGATCACCTTCATTGGACTAAAATTCAGCTTAGTTCCACAACCCCCCCTTTTTTTTTTCCACAAACATGTGCAGCAGAGGAAGAAGGAAAATTCATAATATTTCAGGACCTCAACCCAAAATCACACGCACATAGCAAAGAGAAGAAAGATCGAAGCTCCTCACCTCAAGTAGCCAACGAAACACAAGCAAGGAAGAAGAAGATAGATTATATGGCTGAACAGGGGAAGAATTCTGGCCACTCAAAATCAAGGAAGACGAAATCGACTGCATCGAAGAGGGAAGAAGAAGAACTTGTAGGACGATCCTCCAACTCTGGCGGATCAAGCTCCCCACGCACCTACCGGAAGTACACTGTCGACAGTAGAGGAGGCAGAACAAAGAATGAAATAGAAAGAAAATCTTGAAGCACCCACACACAGCAACACGGACAGAACTCACGCACCTGTCGACGGCGAGCTGATTGGCGGAGGAGGAAGAATGGAGAACGTCGGTGACCAGATAGGATCGGAGAAGAGCAGAGGCGGTGATCTCTCTCTGTTTTTTTTCTAGATTTCTCTCTCTCTTTCTCGCGTCTGGTGGTTCCCGAAAATGAAATGGAAATGGGAATAAAAAGCTGATCATGGAGAATTGTAAAAATTACAATAAAAAGCACAAGGAAAAATTACAAGACATGACACAATGAAAATTATAAGAAATGGCACAAATTTTTTTTTTAACAAAACAAAATTGAACCTTTTGCTTAGTAGAATTCAAACTCTGGACCTTTAAAAAATATTATTAGCAGGAGTTTCAATAATTAACCACTCTCTACTTACTATAAAACTAATTTAAAATTTAAGATCATTACATCGCAGGTCTGCTTTTTCAGATGATTACATAGTGTATTTGCAGGAATTAGATTCAGATGTTATTGATAGTTTAGACCCAATATCTTACCAAGAGACTATTTCTAACTCGCATTCTTCTGAATGGTTGGAGGCTATGAGTGAATAAATTGCCTCTATGTACCGCAACCACCTATAGGAGCTTGTAGAGCTACTAAAGGATTTTAAACTAGTGGGTTGTAAGTAGGTCTTTAAAATAAAACGAGGAGCTAGAGGTGAAATTGATAGATATAAAGCCAGACTTATAGCTAAGTAGTGCTACAACCAGAAAGAAGGTATTGATTACACAAAAACCTTCTCTTCGGTATCCACCAAAGATGCTTTTAGAGTGGTAATGGCTTTAGTTGCACGGCTTGATCTTAATCTTCACCAAATGGATGTCAAGACTGTGTTCTTGAATGGCGATTTGTATGAAGAAGTCTACATGACACAACCTAATGGTTTTATTGAATCTAGTAAAGAAAATCTAGTGTGCAGATTGAAGAGATCCGTTTATGGGTTAAAATAGGCCTCTAGATAGTGGTATCTAAAGTTTGATGAAGTTATTACCTCGCTCGATTTTGTTGAGAATGTCTCAGATCAGTGTATCTATCAAAAGTTTGATGGGAACAATTTTGCCATTCTTGTTCTCTATGTTGATGATATCTTGTTAGCCAGCAATTTAATGAATTTTCTCAATGAGATAAAACACCTATTGTCTTGCCATTTTGACATGAAGGACATGGGTGAAGCCTCCTTTGTTCTTGAGATACAAATTCATCATGATAGATCTTATGATATTCTTGGTTTATCACAGACTACTTATATTGAGTGGGTACTTAAGAGATTCAAAATGGATTCATGTTCTCCCTTACCTGCTCCTGTACAAAATGATGAGCTGTCGTCAGAGTTACAATGTCACAAGGATGATAAGAAGAGGGCTAAAATGAAAAAGATACTATACGCTTCCACTATCAGCAGCCTTATGTATGTTTAAGTGTGTACTCGACCAGATATAGCCTTTACCATTGGAGTGCTAGGTCGATAGTTAAATGATCCAGGTTCGGATCATTGGAAGGCTATTAAAAAAGTTATGAGGTATCTTTAAGGTACGAAGAATCATATGTTGACTTACAAAAGGTCAAATTTTCTTAAGGTTGTTGGGTATTCTGATAATGACTTTAAGGGATCAGAAGATCTTGAGATTGTTGGCTTTTCAAATTTAGATTTTGCCTCATGTCTAGATGATCGTAAATCCACGACCAGTTATATTTTTATGTTGTCTGGAGGAGCCGTCTCTTGGAAAAGTGTGAAACAGACACTTACAATAGTTTCATCTATGGAAGCTGAGTATATTGCTTGTTTTGAGACTACATGTCACGCCATATGGCTAAGGAAGTTGATATCTAGCATGTGCTTAGTTTGAATCAATATCATGTCCTCTAACTATTTACTGTGATAACAAATCTACAGTATACTATGCTAACAATCATAGAAATTCCAGTTGTACAAAGCATTTTGATATCAAACTTATGTTTGTGAAAGAGAAAATTGCTAAGTCTCTGACCCGTGTGGTACACATTTCTGGCATGCAAATGCTTGTAGATCTACTGACTAAGGGCTTACCTGTAAAAGTTTTTCAAAATCATGTAACTTGTATGGGTATGGTGAATTCCTTTAATGCCCTGGTTTAGTGGGAGCTTTGAGAACCTTTTGTGTTGCAATTTCTCTTTAAGCTTTGTTTTCTTTTGTGAGTTATGTTCAGTTCAGTTAGATGCGTTAATATCATTTGTATCCCTATAGGATTCAATGATTCTGTTGTGGTATGCTATATATGTCACTTGTTTCCCCATAAGAATCAGTGATTTATGTTGTTATCTTACTGAGCTATGTTTGAAATAAAATTTCATATTTTATTTAGATTATGAGACATTATATCACTTGTTTCCTTATAGGATCCAGTGATTTTGTAGAGTTTCATTTTCTGAATTTTGTTTGTGGCTTGTTTGTACAACATGCCTAATTAATGCAATCCAAGTGGGAGATTGTTGGAATATTATTTATGGATTGGCATTAATTAATAAGCCCAACAGTTTGGTCTTTATAATCTTGTGTGAACCGTGATAGGTGGACCACACAAATGAGCTCAATAAGCAAAAGCCCAACCCACAATCCAATAGATGTCAGTTATGCTCTATCTCTTAACTGACTAAATCAAAAATAATGTGATATAATTATTTTAATTATATAATAAAGTAGTTACCAATTTGATCTATATAAGTCGATCAGTCGATAACCGTAAAGACACGACTCATTCTCTATTGCTCCATTATCTCTGAACTCTAAAGGCTCTGGGGACCTGTGGGTTGTGCACCTATCAACACTCAAGATAATCGAGATTTCTCAAGTGCTCATGGATTCTTTAGATATGCATACATATTACTTTATTCTATCATATTCAATTATATATGAATTGAGATATTCAAAGCTATCAACTAAATCACCATAGGTTCCAGCATTGGTTATTTTCCTCTTACCTAAAGGTATTTACAAGGAACAAATTTTTATTAAAAAAAATTACAACCTAAAACAACATTAAAAGAAAACCTAAATAAATCCTAGATTTTAATCCTAGGTCAAATCCCCCCATGTAAATAAATAATTTATTTTCATGTTTTTTATCTTCATTTTTGCATTTGATTAAAGGGTAGTTAAATTAAAAGGCCAATTAGTTTACACAATTAACTTAGAGTAATCGTTTTTATGAATGGGTGTCATGAGATACCTAACACCATCCCTATATACAATCGACTACTAATCTTTTTTCACCAACCATCCTTTTTTATTATATAGTTTTTCAAGGTTTTTTAAAATTTTTGGTGGCAACTCTCATTTTTCCTATATTAATCGACCTTCCCTCATCAGGAAAAGCATGATTTAGGCGCGAAAAGTAGCTTACTTTCTTAGTTGAATTATCTACTAAATTGAATGGGTGATCTAATGATAAAAAATTGCTTGGATTGTATATTTAATAAGAAGTTGTGGTTAATATTTTACTATGCTTAATTTGTAAAGTTAAGGCTTGCTTTTTGACAATGTTTGAAATTTTCTTTTACATTTTAAAGTTCAAAAATGATTTGAATTATCTTTTAGAAAAAGTTGTGACAAATTGATTTGTATTTTTATTCTCAATTGAGAGACTTTATAACTTAGCTTGGAATTTCTAGACATTTTAATTTTTTAAAATAATTTAAAAAATGATTTGAGTATTCTTTTTAATGAAGTTAAGCCTTTCAAATCTATCTACTTGAACCCCGTTTAAGCCTTTAATTGAAAGAGCCATACATTTTTTTTTGGATGAAACCCGACATTAGACGCTAATATTAATTTGCAACCTTGAAAAACTATGAATTATTTATTTATTTATTTTGGTAAATAAACTATGAATTATTTTACCTTTGAAATAAGTAATAAAATATTCTTAGTGGCGGGAATTGGCCGGTATATTGTCACCTTGGTTATAAGCATATGAGGGAGAGTCGAATGTTGTCAGTTTCTATCAGTCTCTGATTCTTATCCATTCTTCCCACCGACAGTTAAAAGTGTAATTGGAAAGGGATAAATTAAAATGAGTATATTTTTTTTTCTTAATTGACTGAATTTCCCATCATCAATATCAACATATATAAAAGAATTTATAAGGGATGATTAATAGTATGGATGCTCCAAGATTTTGTGCAAAGCATATACTCCCTCCATATATCCTTACATATAACATATCTTTAATTAAATCATACAAACTAATAAAAATTAGTTTTTCAATTAAAAGATAATGACATCTCAATTTTATCCCTAATTATTGTAAATAAAAAATAAATATTTTTTAAATTAAATTAATAAAAATATTTATTTTTTTAAATTTAATAGGAATATAATAGTTCATTCATTAAAAAATATACTAATAATATTTTATATTTAGAAATAAAAAAATTTATATATAGGGAGAGAAAAAGTAAGTTCTATACTACGAAATATTATATGCATTGTGAAAACTGAAAAATGTTTAATGTACAAAAATATTTTTGTCTGGTAATATGTCCTATTACGTTCTGGTGAGCTCAAGGGTGTCTCTAGACTCTAATGCCTATTGCCTTGCTGGAATAATTGGTTTTTTTCTTTTGAAAGAAAAATATAATGTTAATAAAAGTATGCTCCTTGGTGTCATACATTCATTATTATTTTTAAACAAAAATGAAAAGAAAAAAAATGGATATCTATAGTTCGGTAGGTAAACCACAAAATAGCAAACTTAAAAAAAAATTAAAATGTATAAAAAAACCTTTAAACTTTAAAATAGTTATATATAACATCTCTCACATTTAAAAATTTAAAATTAACCTCTTAACTTTTAATTTTATTTTTAAAATCCGTACTGTTAATTATATTATAAGAGTTAAAATGTTATTTAACTATAAAATGTTATTAAATAGAAATATTATATTATAGAATTATTTATAATCAATTTTGTGTATTTTTTGAATAGTTAAGGTATTGATAGCTAAAAAAAATATTATTATTACTATATAACATTTTAAATATTTACATTTATGTTAGCTGCATCCATGTCTTTTTGTTATCGATAGTGTATAGTTTTATTGTTTTAAAGGATAAATTTTTATTTATATTTCTAGTTTAGATTAATGTAATGTATATGGTTAAAATATTTAAAATTTTAAATATTATAGGTTAGACTAATTT